AATAACTATTTGCATTGTATTTTCAAACTAATGTAGATTTAATGCAAGCAAGACAGAGAAACAAGAATATAATATGCACATAAATAAAATCACAATATGATGACTGGTGAGGGCTTCAGGATTGTGAATAAAATGAGCATCTTTTAGATTTGACTCATCCCTATATGTTATAGATAGAGTCATCATCTAGAGTGAAACATACCATTTAAAGATGAAGAAGCTGGAAATCTCTGTGTAAAAAAAAAGCATGCTACTTCTGAATGGTGTTGAACTTTAAACTCTTTAAATGTGAGGCCACCAGTCTGTAGACACGTGTCCTCATTTGGAAAAACAGACTGAGATGTTGGTCCCATCAGAACTATTGTCGGCTTTGAGGTGGAAACCTTGTAACAATTTCAGTCCAGTTTAATACAGCAAAAATATAACAGAGAAAACAGATTTGTTGTGTTTTATAAAATATTTTTGGGTTTTCTGTAGTGATTTAATAATTTGAGGAGTTGTTTCTGCTTTTGATTTATAAGGTTCTATTCATTCAAGATATTTCATGATATGAATCAATATATTCATTTAATATTCTAAAATATTTTGGGTTTTTCTGAAGTGAAATAAGATATTTCAAGTTTATTGTTTTTTTGGGGGGTGGGGGTTCCTCCAGAATCTGGAGTTGGCGTTTCCTTCCTGAAGTGGTTTAATCATATGAGGTGTTATTTGAGGTGGTACATTTTTTGATCATGAAGAAAATAAGATATTTTAACGATATGAATCAATATCAATCCTGGTATAGTATGTTTTTTTGTGTGTGGGGGGGGGGAAGTTGTTTTTTCCTCTAGAATCTGGAGCTGGTGTTTCCTTCCTGAAGTGCTTTAATCATTTGATGTGTTGATTCTCCTTTTGATTTATTAGGTTATATTCATTATTCATACATGTTTTGATCATAAAGAAAATAAGATATTTCATGATATGAATCAATATATTCATATAATAATCTAAAATATCTTGGTTTTTTCTGAAGTGGTCTAACCATTTGAGGAGTTGTTTCTCCTTTTGATTTATTAGATTCTATTCATACATGTTTTGATCATGAAGAATATAAGATATTTTAACGTTATCAATCAATATCAATCCTGGTAAAGTATGTTGTTGTTTTTTTTGGGGGGGGGTTGTTTTTTCCTCTAGAATCTGGACCTGGTGTTTCCTTCCTGGTGGTTTCATCATTTGAGGTGGTACATTTTCTGATTATGAAGAAAATAAGACATTTTACGATATGAATGAATATCAATCCTGGTAAAGTATGTTTTTTCGGGGGGGTTGCTTTTTTTCTCCAGAATCTGGAGCTGGTGTTTCCTTCCTGAAATGGTTTAACTATTTCAGGTGTCGTTTGTCCTTTTTCATACATTCATACATGTTTTGATCATGAAGAAAATAAGATATTTCAACTTACTGAATCAATATTAATCCTGGTATAGTATGATTTTTTTGTGGGGGGGGTGGGGGTTGTTTTTCCTCCACAATCTGCAGCTGGTGTTTCCTTCCTGAAATGGTTTCATCATTTGAGGTGTCGTTTGTCCTTTTTCATACATTCATAGATGTTTTGATCATGAAGAAACTAAGATATTTTAACGTTATGAATCAATATTAATCCTTTTTTTGGGGGGGTTGTTTTTTTCCTCCAGATTCTGGACCTGGTGTTTCCTTCCTGAAGTGGTTTAATCATTTGAGGTGGTACATTTTGTGATTATGAAGAAAATAAGACATTTTACGATATGAATGAATATCAATCCTGGTAAAGAATGTTTTTTTTTAGGCGGGGGTCTGTTTTTTCCTGGTTTTTCCTTCGTGAACATCCTCTTATGGGCCAGCCCCCCCCCCCCCACCGTCCACACCGGGACGCAGACGCAGACGGGCTGCAGGGGCGCGTGCAGACACCGGACCAGCTCGCGCTCTGAAAGATGAGATGAGCAGCTCGTGCGTTGCTCAGCCCGCGACAGAGGACGGTCCTGCTGCTCCGGAGCTCCGGATGGCTGCCGGGCACGCGCATCCCGCCGGGGGGAGAGGACTCTAGACCGGGTCAGTCCTCCCGGAAAAGGTCCGGTCCGGTAAAGGGAAGATGAAGTTCACCGTGGCTGGGCTGGGGTTGTGTCTTGTGGGTTTTGGGAAAACATTGGTGGAAGGGTGAGAGAAAAGGGGGGGGGGGGGGGTGTGTGCGTAAACTGGTGAAATGTATATGTATATACACTGAAATAAGTATTTGACCCCTTGCTGATTTTGCAGGTTTGCCCACTTACAAAGAATGCTTATTTTTCCTCATCAGATGGTTGTCAATTTTTATAAATTCATATGATGTGATTTTCTGGAATTTTCTTTGGGATTCTGTCTTTCACTGTTAGAATGTACATATGATTAAAGTTATAGATCGTTGCATTCTTTGTAAGTGGGCAAACCTGCAAAATCAGCAAGGGGTCAAATACTTATTCCCCCCCTGTATAAATATGTGTATATGTGTAAAAGAGTCTTATTGTAGAAAGGTGTTTTCCTGATTTGGAATCACTTTGCGGGACCCGGACTGGTCTAATAACGTTATTCTCCTTATTAAAAGAGACCAGTTGGTCAGCGTGCAGCGCAATGTTTTCCTATAAAGAAAACGCTTTGTGGAGATTTGCGCCATTTTGCGCAGCTGCAGGTGTGAATGCGCTGTTAATCATGCAAGGAAACAGGACAAAACGACGGGGTCAGCGCGTTAATAAATGATTAAAGAGTGAGCGCGCAGCGCCCCCCGGGGGACACGTGAAAGGGGGGGGGGGGGGGGGGATAATAATACAATAAGCATCGAGACGAATGAAGGGAAATGAATTCCCTTACATAATAAAGCTGTTCCTGTATTATAGGTTTGGTTATGAAAAGTTTTCAGAGGAATATTGTCACTTTGACGCAGAGCAACAGGAAACCTGGTGTGTCTAAGGGTGTGTTGAGTGTTGGTACTTATATTTTGTTAGCCCGATTCTTTAGTTGGAAACCTGAGAACAAATCATAGTGGATCAAAAGTATAAAAAATAACATTTATTGGGTCATAGTTAAGTTCTGACAGACAAAAACCTCTCTCTGGGTCTCAGTGGGCAAAGAGCCCTGAGATCTGGGTGATGGGCATTATCTCCTGGGCTCGATCCGCCTCCTCAAAGGAGGACTGGACACAACCAAGTCCTATTGGCCAGTTACCTCTGGGCAGGAACAGGCCAGGTCCTAATTCATGCAGATGACAGGAATGTGGTAACAAATGGTGTGTGTGTGTGTGTGTGTTGACCTAAAGGTGGATCTAATGCAACAGAGAGAGAAAAAGAGAGAAAAGAGAATCTGTGGACACAGCCAGAGACTTCAATACAAAATATAGTTAGAAAAGAAAATAAAACAATCAGTAATCTACACAGATCATGTGATAGCATACTATGCTAAAGTGAGTAATTATAGCCAAACTCTAACAATATGTATATCAATATTTACTGCATCCAACACCTATAAAGGGCAATTAAATATATACACTATGTAAGAATAACGACCTCAAATCTGGAAACTTTCTGACAAATTTCCTGATGAAATGTTCACTGGTTGCTCAGATGAGCAGCTGTAGCTCCTCTTCTGCCATTTTAACCATCGGAAAAGTCCAGAGACTCCTTCCCGAACCTGTCATGTCTTATTTGGTGCCTCTGTGAGCTGATTCTGCTCCTCTTAAAGGAGACATTTCAACAAGTTAACCTATTTCAACAAGTTAAACTAGTAAGCTTTGGTCAAAATCCCATAAGGATGAAGCCCAATAGCAGTTCAGTCCCCCT